TGTGTGTGCGCGTGCGTGCGTGCGAGTGTGACTGTGTGCACACTGGATACAGACACATAGTACACTATCCATGTTTCTGTCAGTGGGCACATTATTGCATCATAAATTCATTTTATGTTTTTAACTCCATTAGAGAAAACCTTGCTCAACAGTCCTGTATAGATTTCAAGTGTATACATAACCAACGCTGCTAGAATTTCCCCTCTGTGCTGCGTTCAAGGAACTTTGGATAAAGATAACTAACAAGCAGTGTTCTGACTGTAATGCGCCCTGCTTTTCCTAGGGAGTTTTGTGTTTGGAGAGAGCTGATTAAGGCTTCTAATCTAGGGTCTGTTGATTCCAATCACAAGAGCATAGATTCTCTCACAGGGATTAGCCTACTGCCTGTGTGCTCACACAGCACCTCCATCAACAGATAGATTAGCTTGTTTTTATGCTGGTGTAATCTAGACAAGGGGTAGACAGGGTAAGCCTGTTTACACTTAATACGGTCATGATATGTTAAATGGGAAGGCCATCCATTTTAATCATCCAGTTGTATAATGTCTTTCTCTGGAGACAATAATCCTGGTGATGGCAAAATTATGTCATCAGGGCTATCTCGGCTTGGGCTCAGTGACCACAGATTTATAACAGAAAGCCTGTATTATGAACTGAGGACTCTGAGTTTGAAAGAAATGTGCTTTCTTCACCAGGCAGGGAGGATATAACAAAAATATGCAGTACAGTTGCATAATGGGAAATGTTGGATTTAGTGTAGACCCATACTAGAGACTAAAAGTCACAATATCTCAGCATCTGCTGGTTCAATTTTGACTATTCTTCTGTGTTTCTCTTGTTAGTCCCCTAACGTTATGGAAGTGCTGTGCTAAATCACTAGAGGGCCACTTTAATCCACTGACAACTAGATTTCCCCAGATCTTGTTCCACTTTTTGACAGTATATGTATTTGTGTATGTGCGTGTTCATGCTCTTCATTGAAGAACTGTTTCAACTGCTCAAAAGATTCAAATTCAAGACTTTATGGTTGGATCATTCTTTCAAATTATTTTTGTTCCAATACCGATACCAGTATCAGAAATTGCTGTTGACTACACGGGTCTGTGCACCCATCCATTACCATGTAATTCATGATTCCGGAAATGGGAACCTGCTACTTCCCAACTGTTTCCTGTTTGCTATCTTTGGAAAAAAATGGCAAAGTCATGACCCACCTTACTCTGAATGTTTGTTGGAGTTTGACTGAGATCTAAATATGATGTTAGTGATTTGTTGCCTCTAAGAATATTTGTCACTGTGCAAACGCTGCTGCTTGGTTTAACTCAAAAGAATTTGCCGCTCACTAACATTAAACCGCTACTACTCCACTCACAGCTTCATCATTCAATGCAGACGCTGACATGCATCTAAACATTTTCATTGAGTCTTGCACCTCTGTAATGGCACTTTTTCCTCCCTGAAAGACCAAATATTTAGTAAAAACTCTTATAAGGAGACAGATAGGAATGTCACAATTTGCAGACAATGACCCATAATTTGTATCTAACATACCGCAGGTGTCTGCATAGTGTGACATATGCTTATTAGACCATTTGAGCTCTGTAATTGCACTAATTGTAGGTGGTTCAGTGTCTAATAAAAATAACACTGAAAAGTAAAAAGTGCCGTTTCAGAATGCTCCCTTCTCATGTGTGTTCTGTCTTAAATGCCATGCTCTGTTGTGATACTGATGTGTCGTTCATGCTTTACTCATTCTCATACATTGATTAATTTGCTTTTCTGTGTGCATTTGTTTTGACATTGCCCCCTTTTTTCTTTGTTTTTTGCTCCATGTTTTTCTGCATGCGGCTCGTCCGTAGCTTTGTACCAATGGCTAGAAGCAGACCGCCAAGGCAGGGATCCTGATGCTGCAGCCACAGGTAAAACACTATCAACTGTTCCCCTTTTTCATAACAGAGCGCTACACCTCACAGTGTCTGCATGCACGCCTTGCTCCCTTAAATCCTACTTGATCTAATATGATGTCAGCCTTGCCCTGGTATAGATTTACAGCTCTAAAGAGATTTCACATGGGAAAATAAATGGGATTTTCACATAATCACCTTTGACATAGACTTTGTTTATCACATGTTTTTCACACTTGAATGTTTTAACCTGTTTTTGTCCTAGTAGGCAGCCCTGACTTCTAAGGCCTGTGTTACTACTCATGCTGTTTAGTTATATGAAGGTGAATGTTATTAGAGTTGCACTCTTTATCAAACCTGAAAGTAACTTCAGTAAAGTTTACAGGGAAATTACTTAAAGGAAAACTGTTTGGGGTTGGGATTTGAAACAAAAGTGGTCCAAGTACTGATCCCTGTGGAACACCAACTTTAACCTAAGAATGAAAGGATATTCCTGAATTATATTGAAGTTGCTCTGTGCTAATAAAAAAGACAGGAAGGAAATAAAAGACCTGATAAGGGGTTTATTATCTTTGAGCTTAGCAAATGCTGGTACTTTGCCAACCAGAAAGTGGAACCACTTATCCAAACCCAATCCCACAATGACAATCACACAAAAGCCATCATCACATCAGCTGATAGTATGTAACAATAATAAGCAAGCAGCTTAAGATAAATTACAGGTAATTATAAAAACCACATGTGGAAATGCTGGTGTTAACTATCTGGTTTCAGGATAATGGTGCCTGATACAGTAACAACCTTTTACACATTACATTATCTTCACTTATTTACAGTATTAAACTCAGAACTGTAAAACTGTCATCTTTGCTTTTATTTTGAAAGAAGTTCAATGAAAACATTTATTTTCCCCATAGGGGAATCACTTCGGACTATGTTTGTGTGAGGCTGACATCACTGTGGTAGATAGATCCCTGTGTATCACTGACTCCACCACCACATGGAATACACCCTTCAATCAATTTCATCTCCTTAGCCTTTCTCTCTCTCTTTTCCTTTCCTCTTTGTACAATATTTGGGTCAACTTTCTCTGGGCTCGTTATCCAAATCAGTCCCTCTTGTCCTCCCTGGTCGTAGCTGACTATTTTTACCTTGGACCCTCTCCTCATCCCAACCCTGAAATGATCTTCTCCTGTTTCCCTGCCTCCAGGTTATTGTTTGTTTTTTATGTCTGTCCCTGCTTGCAGCCTAAAGTTTTGGGAGTTAATAAAAGTAAAGGATGGAGGGCTTAATCAAAACAAGCTTCTCCTATTCTCTTTCCTTCATATTTTCTTCCCTTCATCCTCTCCTTTCACCTTCTGTTTGTCATTGTTAACGGCCTCAGGGGGGTTCAGTCATCTTCCTCATGCCTGCAGAGAGGACACAAAGCCCTGGACCTCCTGGGGCACACAGCCAAGTAGTAAAATGGTTGAGCATATTTGGATCTGTGTGTGAGAGAGAGACAAAGAAATAGACGAATAGAGAGAGCCAGTGTACAGTGTGTGTGCAGTATGTCCTCTTGAATTAGTTGATGCCATTGTGCTGCTATTTGTACATGCTTACACAAATCAGACATTGCTTTATCAGGTGTCGTAAATGTCATTGTTTCGATGGTCCATGTTTCGATGGTCCAGATGCAGGGGAGAAAACTATAAGGAATCACCCCGCGGCAGACAGCCCAGGCGTGACTGTGAAACATTGTTTTGCTTTGTTTTGTCCTGTGAGCCTCCTTGAATGTCAGGCTGCCTTTCATTATTCATCTGTGGCCTCTCAACGTTTACCCTCTCCTGTCTCTCTCCCGCCCTCCCTCAGAGTCCCATGCTTTATTCTACATCTAGTCCTTTTCCTAGTGAAACATTGAATATGCTATATATTGAAACATCATTTTGTGTATTTATTTAAAAAAACTTCACAGAATATCTTTAAAACTGTATTACGTATTTTTTTATAAAATTTAGCAATATTGCAATATTATGTTACTAAACATATCCTTCCACCACTGTTTAGCTCATACATACATGTTGTCTTTATATATAGGCTGAATAATGATATAAACCACAAAATATAACGTGGTCAGCAACCTAAACTGACAAAGCTGTCAGTGCTTTTATTAAAAGCTGCAGTAGGTCATTTTTTATAAAAATAACTT